GACAAAATTCTAGAGTCATGGTAGATGATGTGCGGCAAATTTCAGAATTTTATCTCAAAAACTGAATTTTTGACAGCATGTTGAATTTTGCTCTAATGTGAACAATTGGAGTCAATGTAAAAATGGCAAATTTAAACATCAGTTTTTCACTTATGGAGCAAATCAATCATTGTTACAAACAAATTACCAACATCTCCATGCTGTCTAGATGCAATATGTGTATTTTCAGATTTTTGTCTTAATAACAGAATTTTTTACAGTGGTTTCAAATCTGCCTTTCCATGCATGGACGGCTGCTTTCCTACACAATATTGAATGGCTTACTCAGTTTGTGAAGCCACTGTTGAGTTGCTACTTGCCAATTAGCTCAGAGCAGTAGATGACTGTCTTAGTTTCCAGAGGTTGCTCAGAATTGCCTAAAAATGCCCGGACCCGATCCATCGCTGTGCAGCAGCTATAATTATTTTAGTGTTTGAAATACATGGATCAGATCAACAACCCTCTGCTCCCTGAGCTCCTGCCACAGCCTGAACTTGTTAATCGACTCACACTCAAAGTGCTTTGACACTCCTTGTCACATTCACACATTCACACGCTGGTGACAGAGGCTACTGGAGGAGCTGGGGATTGAACCCCCGATCTTCTGATTAGTGAACAACCCTCTGACAGCCGCCCACTTGACCGTTCATGTCAGGTCAAAGGCTGCAGACAGTCTGAAGCAAAGTTAATAACACGCTGCTGTAGACTCATAATTAAAACCCTTCATAATGACTTTACAGTCATTTATAACTACAGACCTGTAGACTGATTACAAAGTGTGAGACCCACTATGGGTTTATTAACAGACTGCTGACTGATAACTACACTCAGTGGGTGATGTGGGGGGGGGGGGGGGGGGGGGGGGGGGGGCGAGAAGGGGCACCTCCCCCCTTGTTAGCAAAATGACCAGAATATGTCCCCTTGTTAACCTGCTGACCCTCTCCGTCCCCGGTGCCAGACCCAGACCTGCTGCTGATAGATTCATAAAGGTCCCACATTGTAAGGAGTCATGTCCTCTGTTATCATGAACCATGATGAGCCGTCAGGACTGTGTTGTTATTGACAGAGGGGTTAGCATTGTCACCTCACAGAGCGTTGGCTCCTGGTTCAAACTCTAACACCAGAGCCTTCAGGGTCGGGGAGCCCTTCTGTCTGGAGTTTGCATGTTCTCCCTGTGTCAGAGTGGATTTCCTCCAGGTGCTCCAGCTTCCTCCCACAGTCCAAAGACATGCAGGTTAATTGGTGACTCTAAATTGTCCGTCAGTGAATGGTTGTCTGTCTGTCCCTGTAACCCTCAACAGGATTAGCAGTTACAGGATGTAACGTGTGTATTATATGTCAGTCCAGAGGCCGACCCTGTTGTGTCACATGTCAGGTCTCTTGTGATTCCACGGTGCCGACATGCTGTGTAAAATCACACAGTGGAGCGACATGATGTTGCTGTTTGTGTAAAAATGACTGACTGCTTCACTGTGGCTGTTTCATTCATGTCTCCACTCTGAGATGTGTCTTCCCACATGTCGGCCCATCATGAGGACAATCAGCAGTCCGCTGTGTGTTGTATGTTTTAAAACACAGCATTCAGGTCATAAAATGGGTCGCAGCCCCTGAGAAATGTTCTGCCTCCTGTATGGTGGCATAACAACTGCATCTGTGTGTGTGTGTTACATACACACACACACACACACTGTGCTAATGGCTTCCTGCCTGCTCACTCTGGAAACTTTCCTGTTCATCTATTTCTGTTTTCACTCAACCTGAACTCCAAACGTTACGAAAGCAACTCGACATTTTTAAATTCAAATGTGATCTGAGCAGGAAAATAGACCAGAGATGATGCATTCAAGGACACAATAATAAATACTTAAAAACAGACGAGTAAGGAGATAAAGATGTGAAGAAGCAACAAGTGAACAAACAAAAGTAGCTTTAGATTATTAGGGTCTGCAGCTTCTGCAGGAAATGTTTCAGCAGGTCAGGTGACACTGAGCCGCCTCTTTTATTATTGTTATGTATTTGTTTATTCCCATGAACACAAAGAGCACGGTCAGACACTGCACACAGAGTTTACCTTTTCCTCTGCTTCAGCTGTGTCCACGTCCAGCTCTGACCTCCAAACACAGAACAAATCGCGCTGCCTCTGATGCCAGATCACACCTCACAGTATTAATAACTCACAAATAAATACAGAAAATACAGGAAGGTAAAAAAAAAAGAAACAGATAAACAAGTAGTGGACTATAAGAGAGCCCAGAGGAACAGAGTAAAGAGTTCTGTTTGTATAAAGTCTTTAAAGTATTCAGGCTGTTCTTCTTCTACACTGTTCATATGCAACCCTGCAGAAAGTTAATGCACCAGTATGTGTGTATAACCCACGTACTTAGGAAGGTTGCAGTCAGATGACCAATGAAGGAAGGAGTCCCCATAAGAGGCCGCATGCATGCCGTGTTTTTTGTGTCCTCATATTCATTGCTTTGAATGGAGATACACTGCAGGTGCATTTAAGTTCCAGAGTGACGCAACATGAGATGAACCGGATATAAACCCCTTCACCTGTAGTGGTGGGCTCAGCATTGCAAGTCGTACTTTGAAAAAGCAAAACAAATGGTATCAAGGCATGTTTGATGTCTCAAATATATCCCTAAGCCCAAAGCGCATGGTCAGGTTTAGGCAACAAAAAAAAAAAACCTGATCAGGTTTAGGCAACAAAAACACATGGTCAGGTTTATGCAAAAAAAAAAAAGACGTCGAGTTTAGGCAGCAAACACACGTCAGGTTTAGGCAACAAAAAAAAAACCTGATCAGGTTTAGGTAACAAAAACACATGATCAAGTTTACGCAAAAAAAAAAAAAAATGACGTCAGGTTTAGGCAACAAAAACACATGGTCAGGTTTAGGCAACAAAAACACATGATCAGGTTTAGGCAACAAAAACACATGGTCAGGTTTAGGCAACAAATACACATGTCAGGTTTAGGCAACAAAAACACATGGTCAGGTTTATGCAAAAAAAAAAAAAGACGTCGAGTTTAGGCAGCAAACACACGTCAGGTTTAGGCAACAAAAAAAAAACCTGATCAGGTTTAGGCAACAAAAACACATGATCAAGTTTACGCAAAAAAAAAAAAAAATGACGTCAGGTTTAGGCAACAAAAACACATGGTCAGGTTTAGGCAACAAAAACACATGAT